TTGCCCCGCTCACACTGCAGGAGCGGCGGGCCCGCGGGGCCGAGAAGGAGCACAAGCGCTACCACAGCCTGGGCAACATCAGCCGGGGCGGGGGTGGCAGTGGGGACAAGCCCAGCGGTCCAGCCCCCCGCAGCCGCCTGGACCCCGCCAAGGTGCTGGGCACCGCGCTGTGCCCGCGCATCCATGAGGTGCCACTGCTGGAACCCCTCGTGTGCAAGAAGATCGCCCAGGAGCGGCTGACCGTCCTCCTCTTCCTGGAGGACTGCATCATCACCGCCTGCCAGGAGGGCCTCATCTGCACCTGGGCTCGGCCGGGCAAGGCGGTGAGTCCCCCCACTGGCCGCCCGCCCGGGGCTGGCGGGCCCCCTGGTGGGAAGAGGTGGGCGTCTGCAGAGGGCTTTGTCACTGTCTCAGCCTCTGGCCAGTGGGATCCTGGCATCCGGGAACAAGACCTCTGAGGTCATAGGGACAGGGCCCGGCATCAGTCGACAGAGAGTGGCAGGGTTGGAGGAGACTGCTGGGGAGCGGTGGGGCTCCTGGTTGGATGCCCGAAGGGCAGCTGACAGGCCTGGCATGGCCAAGTCACTGCGAGGTCACTCAGAGCAGAAGCTGTTTCTATGGGAATCTGGTCTTTAAGTGGTGGAACTCTTTGAAGGACTTCCGGCTAAAATTCTACCCTGGGGTCCTGCCTTCCAGCCTGGGCTTGGCCTCTTAGGACCACTGGAAGCCGGAGTCCAGGTTGCATCTCGCACTTTTGCTCTGTCTGTGACCCCTGGGTGCGTCAGCCGCCCGCCTCTGATCCCCAGCTTGTCACTGTTAGAACAGAGGGTGCTGGGTGGATGTGCCCACCTGGGGAGCTGTGAGATTCAAAACATGCAGTGGGTGAGCTCAGACCTGCTTCCGCGGTAAGGTCAGAGAGTGCTGGGTGTCTCGGCCCCTCAGGGCCTGGACTCTGGTGCTCGGGGTCCCAGATCTGAGGGGTGTGGCTTGGTCCCTGCGAGCCTTGGTTTTAGCATCTGAGTCCTGAGTCCCTAGAACTCCAAAGCACAGTCTCAGGGCCTCGGAGGGAAGGGCGTTGGGATTGGGGAGTCTGGCGGAGTCCTGAAAGGGACCCCTCTGTCTCCCTAGTTCACAGACGAGGAGACCGAGGCCCAGGCAGGGGAAGGAAGTTGGCCCAGGTCACCCAGCAAGTCAGTGGTAGAGGTAGGATGGTCCCTGAGTTCTTTCTCCTCTGTACTTCAGGAGTCCCCCCACTCCAGGCCAGAAGGGGACATCTCCCCCTCCTCTGACCCCCACCCATGGTCTTTGCTTTGACTAACCCGGTTAGATTATGGCTGTGTGAACGCGCCGGCTGCCAGGACAGGGCAGCTAGTCGAGTGCCTAGAGCAGTGGCGTCTGGCTGAGGGTCTGGGGCGGCCTGAGGGGCAGGGCCAGGGTGACCCAGGCTTGGAGACGGAAGCCAGCTCTCTCCCTGGGTGCCGCCCAAAGCCCTAGGTGGTTTCTAACCACTCCTGCCTCTCCCTCTCATCTTTCCCAGGGCATCTCCTCCCAACCAGGCAACTCCCCGAGCGGCACAGTGGTGTGAAGCCATGGATGTTGGGGTCCCCCACCCCCTGCCTGTCTCCTAGCCATAACTCCCTGCTGACCTCATGGATCAACGTATTAACAAGACTAACCATGACGGACGGGCTGCTCCAGTCCCCCATCCTGCACACATTTTGGGGGTCCCTCAGCCTGGCCCAGACACTGGGGGGTGTAGTGGTCCTGTGGCCTCAGCCTTGTCCCCACCCACTGCCAAGTACAATGACCCCTTTCTCAGAAACATCAGTGTTACCCTAACCCTGTCCCCAGCATGTGACTGGTCACTCCTAGGGGAGCAGCTCCCCACCCACAGAGCCCCAGCCTTGCAGCCCCTCAGTTGGGAGAGTGGGAGTGTCCCCACCTGCCCCCCCTTGCTATTGTCTGTGCTGTCGAAGAGTGTTAAGTTATGGACATCCCTCGGGGCCTGCCCTGTTCCCCAGGACCTCTTATTTATACTAAAATTCCCTGTTTTCACAGCGGCTCTGTTCCCTTCCATGGAGGTCGAGAGGGTGCACTGTGTGTGTGAGTGTGTGTGTGTGTGTGTGAGGGCACACTCCTGCGCTTTGCTGTTTGCCTGTCTAGAATCAGTCGCTTTGGCCAGATGGAGATCACACCTCCCTCCTCCCGTCCCCTCTAATAGGACAGGCTGAAGCCTGGGCAGGGAGGGACACGTGCCTTGCACGCAGCTGGTGACCCTGCTGGGCGGTCCTGCTGAGGCCCTTCAGGAGGAGGGGTGCATCCTGCCCCCTGGTGTGGGGGCCCCATGCGGAGTCTGGCGGGTGTTTGGCAGAGTCTCAGAGTCCTTTGAAGCATCAGCACCGTCCAGATCTGCTCTTCAGGGGCCTGCCCAGACAGGGCTCTCCCGGCAGCTCCTGAGGTGCGGTCACAGGGGTCCTGGAGCAGCTTCTGAGCTGCTCTGTGGACAAGCCTTTGCCTTCCAACGCCGCAGAGACATCTGGAGGCCATGGCTTCCTCTTGGGAGAGTAAAAGCTGCAATTGCAGCCTCTGGGGGAGTGGTGTCTTCCCGCTCCGCCCTCCACCCCCCAAATGTTTCTGTTTCTAATCCCAGCCCGGGCAGGAATGTGGCTGCCCTGCCAGGGGCCAAGGAGCTATTTTGGGGTCTCCTTTGCCTGGGAGGGCCTGGCTCCACCGTTCTCCTCCCTCAGGCTTTGGCCAGCAGGCCACCCTAGCTCTGGCTCCTGAGGGCGCCCCCTCACGATCCTCTCACCACCCCTTCCCCACCTCCTGCCAAAACCAGTCAGTGTAAAGCCAAGGGCCTGAGGGCTAAATTTAACTGTCCCAAAGTTGGAATCCATTGCTGAGTCACCCGAGAAGCCTCCCTGGCCTCCAGCCCCCCTTCCCAGGCCTCACTCCCCCCACAGCTCGGGCCTCTCGGCCTCAATTGGCCCCCTCCAGGCAATGGGAGGCCTCACCTCGGCATCCCTCCCCTGTAGCTTTCCCTCCACGCTGCACGTTCTTGCCATGGGGGTGGGCAGTAGGGGACTCTCCATCCATCCCCTAGCCTGCACCGGAGGGTTCCGAGGGTCCCTGGGAGCAGGGCATGGGGGTCTGGCTTGTGAGGGATTAAGGCTGGGAGGCGGGAGGGGGGCAGGACCAAGGGGTGGGGAGAAGAGGAGGAGGCCTCAAGAGCTGAACAAAGTGGCCAGAGAGGCCCAGGGGACAGCAGGACGGCAGACATGCAGCCAGGGCTCTGGGACCTGGACAGGGGCTGCGCGGCCCTGTGACAGGAGGACCCCGAGCCCCCGGCCCGGGGAGGGGCCATGGTGCTGCCTGTCCAACATGTCAGCCGAGGTGCGGCTGAGGCGGCTCCAGCAGCTGGCGCTGGACCCCGGCTTCCTGGGGCTGGAGCCCCTGCTCGATCTTCTCCTGGGCGTCCACCAGGAGCTGGGCGCCTCCGAGCTGGCCCAGGACAAGTACGTGGCCGACTTCTTGCAATGGGGTGAGTGCCCACCTGGGTGTCTCCCAGACTGGGGCGGGTAGGAGCAGGGGGTGGGCTGGCTCTTGGGACCAGGACGGGCACGAGGAGATGTCTCATGTGGTGGTCCAGAGCGTGCACGTGTGTCCTGGGCTGACATGCCCCCATGCCCATGCCACCCTGGCGGGGTAGAGTAAGGTCAGCAGAGGCCAGAGTGGCCATGACTCAACCGTGGCGTGGGGACCGTAGTAGGCTGGGCCTAGCTTAGGGACATACTGGGATCCTCATTTCCCAGGACTTTCTCCCCAAAAATGGTTCTATGGCCCTCTGGGGTTCCCAATGCAGGGGCACCAGCCGGGAGGGACAGCATGGGGCAGCTGCCAGGGGCGCGGCCAGCAGGCAGGTGTTCGGCGCCAGCCTCTCCCTCTCCAGCTGCCCCAACAGGTGCCCAGGCTCTGGGAGGGAGACGTGACTCACACAGACCCCGGGGGAGGACCAGCTCTGCAGACAGGCTCCACCGATACCCCTCGGTCCCTGGGTGGAGAGAGTAACGGGGTTCTTCTCGGTGGGCCCACTCTGCAGCTTCTGTGCCCCCACCCCAGGGTCGGGGCTGTGCCAGCGTGCACGGTTAGCCTGCGGTTCCTCCAGCTCCCCCAGCCTTTAGTTCTGGCCAGCAGTAGTCTTCCAGCTGTCCCAGAGTTCCTTCTCTGGAGGTCTTTCTCAACCTGGGGACAGGCCTGGAAGGAGGGTGCTTCAGTTTCAGCCTCCTGTCTCTGCTGCCTGCACCCCACCACCTGCCCAAGACTCAGGCTTGCTCTAGTTTCTGTCACTCCTAACACCTGCCACCTACTCTCTCCACCTGCTGGGCCCTCAGTGTCCTGCTCTGGTGCTTAGCCTGTGTGTCACTGGCTGTTTTCCTGCTCCCTCTTCTGTCCATCTCTTCCTGCCTGAGCCGCATTCCTCTCCCTCCACTCCCATTTCCCAGATGGGAAGGTGGAGGACAGCGTAGGAAACAGCCTCTGGAAGAATCTCACCTCTCCCCAACCCTTACAGACTCCCCCAGCCTCTTATGCAGAGGACGACCATGCAGGGGCTGGCGGGGTAAACTGAGACCTGGGGTGGGGGTACGGGTCTGGCCCTGGGCGAGGAGCACTCCTTTTGTGGCCCGAGCTGCATCCTGCGGCCCCTCCCCTGCCGGCTGGGCGGGGGAGGGGGCCTGGTTCCCGCTGCCTTAAAAGGGCTCAATGTCTTGGCTCTCTCCTCCCTCCCCCATCCTTGGCCTTGGCCAATTCTTCCCCTCAGGCCCTCTCTCTCTGAACCCCCCAGAATCCCACGGGCCTCTCTCCCCTGTGTAACCCACTGTCTCCCTCATCTTTCCTGCTCCTACCCATCCTTCTCTCCATCCTGCCTCTGAAGTCCCCCCTTCTTTCACCCCCGGGGAGTCCAGGTCTCCTCCCCACAACCCCATTCAGGAGTCTGGGCTTCCACCGGCCTGTCCCCTTCCCAGTCTGTCCTGCTTCATGTCTTTAGGCCTTAACCTCTCCAAGCCTTGACTGCCATCTGTCAGTAGGGGTGGCATAAAGCCCACGTCCTGAGCCAGTCCTGAGCCGTGGGAGGTCTGAGCCCAGGCACCACCGGCAGGGCCAGAGCATTGAGCCCTGGCTGTGTGCATGCTGGCTTTGTTTCCCTTCCCCTCCTCGCTCCTGGCCCCCAGCCCCAAACCCAGTGTTTCCTAAAGTGTGGTCCTAGAATCAGCTGTGCTTGGATACAGCTGCAGTTCCAGACACCCTAAGTGAGAACCTCAGGGTGGGTGCGGGGATGGGCACCTGACACCCGGTCAGTCCTGTGGAGTGGGTTGGAAGACTTGAAGCCAGGTGAGGCCTATGACTGCTCTCTTTCTCCCTCTGTTCTTCAGGGCCTCCCCTCTGCAGACATGTTACCCCACCCTTTCCAACCTGCACCCCACTGGAGCCCTCTAGCCCTAGGCCTGGTCCCTAAATGAGTTCCCTGGCATTTTGTCTCTATAAAAGGGCAGGTTTGGGTGCCCCAAAACATTGTCTATTGGGCAGCGCTTTGGAGACACAGTCTTAGGGTGAAGCTGAGAGGCAGAGAGGGTAGGCAGGGACTTCCCCTCGCCACCAGTGTCTGTCCCAGTGGGACTTCCCGAGAGGACGAACACTTGGTTCCCTCTCCCTGCAGCGGAACCCATCACGGCGAGGCTTAAGGAGGTCCGACTGCGTAGGGATGACTTCGAGATTCTGAAAGTGATCGGACGCGGAGCGTTCAGCGAGGTGAACCCCAGCGCGAGCGCCTAGCGCAGCGGGAGCTCCGGCAGGAGTCCGGGCTTCACTTGGTGGGCGGGGCATAGGAATTCGAGGTGGGGCCTTAGAGGTTGATGAATGAGCTTAGAACCCGAGACCGGGCCGCGGGTGGGGCGGAGCGAGAGGCCAGTGGGCGTGGCATAATTGGCGCGGGGGTGGG